TTCGGCAGTTACGTGAGGCGAACAATGGTCTTTCTGCGAATAAGTGCGAATGATGTTTCCACTCTTTTGCCGTTGCCAATGACTATCTGCTATTTTTATAATATATTAGTATTATTAGAATATATTATTATTATTATATCTGAAGTAAAGAGCACCCGTTGGGATTCGGCTCGCTCCCTTGTTTATTTCGTACATCACCTCAGTGCAGGGTATTTACATTTATTTGAGTGTTGTGCAAATCGTGGCTTCTAAAAAACAGAAAGATGATTTCAATTGAAAGAAAGCGAGACATCATCAGAAAAAGTAAAAGTTGACAAAAACTTCCTTGCCAAATGGGGAGAGGTTCGGGAGTTTACCAACACTCATTATCCAAACAGAGCTGAGGCCAACAGGATCAATGACCTTTACAATGATACCCTCGCCCGTCATTTCCGACAGGTGTCGAAGAAGAGAGAGAAACAGACCACCCTGGTCATGATTTTCAAGAAGCCAGCTGCCAAAAAAACAAAGGATGGAACAAGAGGAGTTGACTCTGCAAGCTCCGGTAGCCTCTCCTGAATCTGACTCCAATTAAAAAACAATAAAAAGAGACCCGCTGCAATGTGTAAAAAATCTGTATCTATATGAATGTGTGAAGAAAGTGTTCCTCCACCTCCTCCTCGCAACATCTGACTACCCGGCATAATTGGTGACTGCTCCATTTTCATTTTTTTTAATGGTACAGTACGGTTATTTTATCCGCGGAACGAATTATATGTTTTAACACATATTTCTATGGAAAAATGCGTTTCGTATAACGGACTTTTCACTTAACGGACATGCACCTAGAACGGATTAAGTACATTATACGAGGCACCACTGTAGTCTGGATAAGGAAAAATTCGGATAATCGAAACAAATACTTTAATTTGTCTGTTAATGATAAGACAACCTGTTTTCTTTTCGATGACATATCAGTAATATTAAAAATAAATACTGTATTTAAATCATGATCAAATTTTCAAGAAACAAATGTTTGTATTGAATTTGGACTTCTACTGACCAGTGCTAACAGACTATCTATTGTTTAAAAGACCCTCTGGTGGCACAAAAAGACTGATTTTATAAAATAAAAAGCAGTTGAAACTGCATTTTTATGAATAAAAATTTGACAATCTATTTATCATTTTATGACGAGTAAAACTTTTTCGTCGCGTTCGCGACTTTTAAGTAATGCATAAACCTTCAAGGCGCGAGACCCCTCGGACCACAAGGCATAGGTGAGGGCCCACGTTGCCCTTGGTCATAGAAATGATGTAATTTGAATATAAATTATTCATAAATACTTATGTCAAGTTATATTTTTATTATGACGCAAAATATATTTAAGAGTTTACGACCACTGTGCTGGGTGAGACGTTGTTGAAACAAAAAAGTTATGCATTCCATAACGTACATAAACAGTATTGTAATTCGCCAAGTGCAAATCAGCAAATTTGTAAAATGTTTGTTTGTTTAACAATCCGGATAACTGAAAATCCGGATAATAGAGGTCTGTATAATCGAGGTTCTATTGTATTTTATAATAATAATATTATTATTTATTAGAATTAGCAACATTTTTTATATAGAATTTATATTTGCAATATATATATAAATTACTAATAAATATAAATACTAATAAATATTTTTTCATAAATAATTTAATATATACATACTTGTGATTAATAACTCTGTGTACTTGTAGCCATTCTGGGCGAATACCATAACGATAAAATCTTTCTTCAAGATTGTGGGGATCATCTCTGGGAAGATCACGTTTTTTCTCGCCGTCTAAAGTAGAACTACCATCATCCAGTGCTGGTGGCTCATCCATGTCATTTTTACGGCAATAATTACGATATAGAGCAGGATGATAAACGTCCAACTATATAATATTGAATAAAAATAATTATGTTAATAACAATCATCATACCTTGTTGTAAAAGTATTTGATTAAAACCACTATTATTATAAAATAAAATTATCGCCACTATGATCATTAAATTTTTATTTGTTGAAAAATAACAACATGATTCAAAATCTTATTGTTATAACAAAAGATAATATGTTTAAAATTAATCTGAATTTTATTAATTTTACAGATCTAAAATGAAAATTTATTCTTCATTAGTGAAATCCAGCTTTCTTGAAGAGCTAAAAGTCTAATGAGCCTTCCAGATCATCATAAGAGGAATTTACTTAATGAATAATATGCAAAACTAAAAACTACATCAAATGTTGTGTGTAAAATTAAGAACACTTGTTAGAAATAAAAAATGTCTATTACATTAATAAAAAGTTTTCCCAGTTGTTTTATCCATGCTGATCTTGAAAAATCCAAAGTGAAACTATGTTATTTCCTCTTTTTAGCTACACTATTAATGAAAAACTTTTTCTTGACCAGATGTAGTAAAACTCTAAAATTCCTAATTCATAGTAGTAACACAATACAAAGAAATGTGAGCATTAAAAAGCTTAAAAATAAAAAGTTATGTGACAAAACAAGAACAATCACAACAATCATGCTGTCCTTTCTGAATGTTTTTAACATCAAATATTTTCTTCAACAGCATGATCTACTTCCACACAACAGACCACTGTTTCCAGTAGTCTGTTGTGTGGAAGCAAATTTCCACTGTTGTAGAAGATTAGACGTCTGCAATATATTCCTGAAAACTAACAAAAATACATGTATGGCCTATCAAAACAACTTAAAATATTTCTGTAGAAATAAATTATTGGAAATATCATATAAATTACATCTATATCTTACATAACTGTTTAATTAATGAGTTTACACTAAAACAACTTTTGAAAAGTTATACAGCAGTCTCGAAAACGCACCCNAATAAAAATCATTCTTGCTTCTAATTTTTAAAACTAAAAATTTTAAAGCATTGAATAATGTAGAATTTTTTGATATAAATTTCTCTCAAAAATCACTTATTCTTTTGTATGAACATATGTAAGAAATTAGAAAAAAAATAAACAAAATTATCATACCTTGGATTGATTGTTTTTTAATCTATGGGCTTCATCAACTACTAAAACTTGCCATTCCACAGAACCTAATGTTGCAGCATCTATACATACTAATTCATATGATGTCAATAAAACATGGAATTTTACAGGACAGTCTTTCTGTAAATATCAAACATGTGAAATTGTATATACATATCTTTATATAAAGTTTTATTTTACACTACATTAAAGTAATTATGTTATATATCATTATATATTTTTTTTATTATAGCAGACTAATTGCAGTTAAGTATTCTGGCTATATTATTTAGATCATTTTTAATTCAAAGACAGACGTATTTAATTTCATGTGAACAACATAAGTGTAATAAGTGGTCTGTACATGTGCAAAACAATTTTAAAAACTTGTTATAATGACCAATAAGATATCTGAAGGTAATGTGCTTTCAATTAATTCTATAATAATGACATTGTTGAAATAAATATATCTGTAGTGTTTTATATCTAACAAACATTTGCCTAAAATTGAAAAGCATAACTTGATTGTCTAACAGATTTTGTTTCAATTCAAAATAATTTAAAGCTATCCTGTTGCTTTTAGTGCTGAACACTGTAGAAATTTTTGTACCTAGGTACCAGGAATTATTTGATAACAGCATTTCTCAGACCCCCCAAAGATCCACAAACGTGTTGTTAGTGTCCTTGAGTTAAAAAGAAAATATCATACTGTGGATTAAAAAAAAAAAAAATGCTTCTCACAATATTAAATGCACCAACTAAAGTTTAAATTTAAAAAATATGAAGTCATTTAAATTAACATTTTTAAAACAAAAACTTGTTGTTTAAAACTTGCTAGAAAGTTCAGTTTGAAAAATACCAGAACAATGAATGCTCTTGGGGTATTTCATACTCTAAGGCATATAACATTTGTATTAATTTAAATTTCCCTCTCATGATTTATACAATTATGTCCACCTCTGTTTAAATCAGAAGTGTTGAAAATAAAAATATTAAAACCAATTAAACATTGCATTATTTTTCTGGTTTGTCAAATATAAAGAATTAAACAACATATGGTAAAGTTAAATAAAATGTGAGATTTATGTTTACTGAATGAAAAAAAATTCAACTTGTTTACTTGTGTATTATTTACATTTATACTTATACTAGTACTATTCATCGACTTTTCCATTGCTGGAATTAGAATAACTTCATACACAGTTTTTTAAACCTTGCACAAACATATATAGCAAATTAATTTTCTTACATTATCTAATAAGACTAATAAATGTCCTTTTACATTATATGATTTATTATTTTAAAATCACTCAAGATTAGCATGAATAAATTACAATTCTAATCTATATCTTTTTATTTTAACATTCCAACATTTAAACATTTACTTCTGGGTACAAAAATGGGTACTCTAAGTTCAGCACTAATTCTAGTCCCTTTATAGTACTGAATATATATTAACTATGTAATTATATACTTGAAAACTGTGTAACAACTTTGTGCTGACTGTATATCATAATATATAATGATATATGCATTAATTAAAAATATCATGCTTGAAAATTAGAAATCATTTATCTGAAGTAAATTGCATCTTTGTATCAGTAAGACTTAACAAGATAACAGGATAGCAAAAATTGAGATTACAATCTGAAAAGACAGCAAGCAATATTGTGTTACTGCTCAAAAATTTAAAAAATATATAATAATTAGTTCTTTAATTACATGTTTGTAATCATTATTATATAAAATAAATTACTATTAAATTTCAGAATTTTTTTTTACATAATTTGAAATTAAAGTATATTCTAAATATTTTAATTAAAATTATTTTTGGAAATGAATAATAAACAGAAATTTACCCTTATTTTTGAAGCTTTATTTCCACTTCTTACTGCACCTTCTTCAAATGATAATTCGTGTTCTCTAATAACTGCTCTACTATCTTTATCTCCTACATAAGTTACAATATAAAAGTCAGGAGCCCAAGCTTCAAATTCTCTTTCCCAATTAATAATTGTGGATAATGGTGCACTGACAAGAAATGGGCCACGACAATGACCCTAATTTAAAAAAATTAAAAACTTTATTTTAGTTAAAACATTTATTATAATCATAAGAAAATTAAAATTTACATTTACAAAATTCAAACATTCTTACATTAAAAATAAATCTGATCTATACATGTATTTCTGTTTGTTTACCCAGAGTTTTTCCTATATAAAAGTCACTTTTGTATGTTGCATTATTATTATTATTACCTAATATATAATTTTTCATCTCTGGAAACCAACATTTAAAAAATAATGGATCTATGATATTTATTAATTCCAACTGCAATTACAACAAACTATAAACTGATGTACTTATTGTACACAAACAACCAATCAAATGGAAATTAAGGGTTGCTTGGTTGATCATCATCACGTAGAGTGCAATTTCTAGCTATTTTATTTAGTTTGATATAAAATTTCACAATTTTCATATATATTCAATCCATATGACATAAAAAAAGATTACTTTATTAAAACCAAATAAATATAACCTACAACGGCAATGGATTCAAGAATCAATAATTTAGTAAGTAGACTGTATTTGTACACACACACAAATTCAGCATCACATTTAGATAAAAATTTTACCAAAACATTTAATTTACTTAAAGAAACATCACGGTAAGGAAAGGTACCATATCGTACATACAAGTATTCATATGGCATAATTGGTTTAAAGGTGGCAGTGAACCAACTGATGGGAAGACAGTTTGTCCCCAACAGTACATATTAATAAGGAGATGCATATTAGCATTTTTTATTGCCTGTAATGCAATAAAACAAAAAAAAAAAAAAACAGCCTCCTCTGTATCAACTGGAAAGCAGCTAGATTCTCCATTATAACAATCTCCCAGCACATTATGTTCTCCTATATGGTAAATATCAAACACTAGATACATGTTATTAAATCCATAAACTTCTTATTCTCCAAACCTTGTTCCTGCAGATTGTCACACCTTCACTAGAATGAAAGCTCTACTGAAGAAATATGATATTCTAATCAGCAGACATAGTAAAACATTGTAACGATTGCACTCTAAGAGGTACAGCGGTATGGGCTGTGAGACTGTTTTAGTAAGTATTATGAAAGTTGGGAGAATTATGTAGTTTCATAAGTTCCTTATTTTCAAAATAGACTTCTGTGAATACTTGTACTGTTATTTAATGAAAGTTGTATTAAACATTGAATTTATTTCTGAATACCACATGTGCATGCACATAACAGATACACATATGTATTTTATTTTATTTTTTAACTTTTACAACTTTAGTCTTGCCTGAATCCTGTTCAAATTCAATTACAATATCACATCTGTTTTTTCTTTTAAACTAATTTAAAAAACAAAAACTTTCAAACAATGAGCATATTAAACTCATCTTTACTGTGAAACAATGCAACCAATTTCTGTCCTCGAATAATCAATAAATTACTATTATTTTGTTATTCATATTTTTTATCAGGTGACCAAAACAATTCACGCAGTTTTTGAGGTTAAAATTAAAAATATTTTGTTCAATAAAGTAATAATCATCACAATTTACAATCTTTTCCAAACAAGATACAAGTTTGTAAAAACCACTCTGAAAAAATTCCAATCCTTAGAAATGAAGAAATCCTTCAACTCTGTTTTCAGTGCTGCTTGGTTTCAAAATTACTAATTGCACATGCAATTGTCCAATGATAATCTGTCTGGTAAATATGGAAGGTGGCATAGAATTTCCTAACCAAAGCTATGGAGCTTGTCCCAGGTCACTCATTCTATGTGAGGTTGTGCACTGTCCTGAAAGAATAATGTCTTTCCAATTAACAAGTATAGGTTGTTTTTGCAGCATTGCAGTTGTTACAAGTATGCATCTACAGTGATTGTTTGGTCAAGAGGAAGAAGCTCATAATGAATGATGATAGTTTTAGTCCAACAGACACAACAGTTTTTTTTTAATGGACGTTAGACTTTGGTTTATGTGGCAGAGATTCATTAGATAATGATAACCAATGACAGAAACATTTGGTGTTGTCATATATAACCCATTTTTCATCAGACATCAACAAACATTCCAAAAATGGCTCGTTGTGTTGTGAAATCAGCAACAAACAGATCATTAACCTCTGGGGCTTATCAGCAGCACTTCATTCATGTGCTTATTGTGCCATTCATATATTTGCTCAGCTTCCAGGCTCTTCCTAGGTAATACAAGTAAAAATGAACGATTTCATCACTCATAATGAACCTTTTTTGCAAGTTCCTGACATGTTTGTCTTGAATCCAACTCTATGGCTTTCCTTCAGTTCATCCTCATCAGTGAATCTTGGTCTTTCCTCATGAGGTGCATCTTCAAGAAACTCATCACCCAAAGCAAATTTTCTGAATCATTTTTTGGGCCAAGAATTCACTGTGTTCTCTCCAAATGCTCTACATATCTTGTAGGTTACCTGCATTGCATTAGTACTGGGTTTAAACTCAGAGTAAGCACTCTTAAGTAACTGTAGTTGGAACAACCATCTTTTCTTCACTATTTCAAGAATTACCATTCACACATTCTTGATGTCACCTGATTCAGCATGATATGCTATTGGCTGTGTATTGACATATGAACATACCTGCAACTTTGTCAAAGTAATTTTCATTACAACAACAACAGTGAAAAACTGCAAACTTTTTCATCACCAATATATTTTCACTTTCTATATAATATATATTAAAGATAAAAATATATTAATAAGTATTTTAATATTTTAATAATAACAACTGATGTAACATTTCATATTAAACATATATATATATAAACATCCCAAAGACCAATATTTTTTAGTAATATGCCAAACAATTACCACTTTTAATAAGGCTACTTTACCCCTATTAGAAGTTTATTTAGAATTTAATTAAAAGAATTAGCGGTAAAGTTGCCCAATTTAATCCTGCAATCCTTTGGCATACTTCATGTTAAAATTTTTACATTTAAAATCTATCACATGGCTAAATAAACAATACTATGCATATAAACCTATACCTAAAATATTATCAAGCTTTTATCCTGACTCAAGTTCAAGTTTTATTTATTAAATATTTTCATATTATGAAGTTAAATTTCTTCTTATATAATGTAAGATAAATTCTAAAGCAACTTACCTCTTTGTACAATGAATAAAGGAAGACAATAGTCTGGATGGTTTTACCAAGTCCCATTTCATCTGCCAAAATGGTATCAGTGGTATTTGCCCAAGAAAATCTTAACCAATTAACACCTTCCAATTGATATGGGTGCAATTCATTTCCAGTAACATCAATAAATGGAGGTTGTTTGTCATATTTCTTTTTTGGCTGTAAAATATATATAATTATGTTTTTTTTTCAAGTTTAATAATATTATTTGTTAAAATCATTAAAAAGCAAAAAACATTTAGTATTAAATATTTGAATTTATTTAATATTAAATTATTTTAGAATAGAAAATTTTCCAACATCTTATTTGCTGAGAAAAACTTTAGAATAGATTGAAAATGTTTGTGGAAGATAAAAATTATCCTCAAGTGTGAACTACACATTACCATTATAAATTGTGCATATATTTTTGAATATGTTCAATTTATAATGGTATTTATATTTTATTGTCTAAAAATGCATACAAAATATGCTTTATTAGACAATCTGAATTTGATCTACTTGGACCAAAATCATGTTTCTATTGAGGTTTCAACATCAATAACATTTATGAAAAACACACATACAAATCCAGCCCTTAATCATACCATTTTGCTGCTTATATGTTGGCAAACAGAACATTGAGAAAGTTCTATGCAAATTTTCAGGACTCACAAGCCAAACTTCTGAATTGGTATTCTTATTCTAATATTTTAAAATGCAAAAGTGCATAGTAACTAATTAATTTAATTTTTTGAAAGAATTGCTTTGCATTTTGTTCCTCTACACAAAAGATTTTAATGCCCATAGTCATACTTGCAGGATTATTTAGTAGCCATACTTCTTACAAGAAGTGCCTAACAATATATAAATTTTTATAATACTCTTATTTTTTAAATTCTACTTGTATTGATTATATTCAGGTTTGATTATATTCATTCAACGAAAGTTAATTATAAATTAAACCTTACATTCATTAATTTGAATAAATCATTAAAATCCAAATTAAAATATTAACTAGAACTAAATAAGAAGAAAAAAATTTAATATATGTATATATATAACAGTATAAATACTCACATCAACAGTAGGTTTCTCTGGAGGTGGAGTCATGCGTTTTCCATCCTTATCATCATCCTTTATATCCTTTTCTTTTGACTTTTTCCCTTTATTACCTTTGGTCTTACCAGAAGTTGGTTTCTTGCCAATGCCAAATTCTGCTGCATTTCTTTAAAAATAAAATACTTATAATGTTAAGATCTTTTAAAAGCCCAATATAATGAAGATTAGAATAAAAGAATTTATTACTACTAACACTAATAGAAATTTTATATATTTAAGAAGACAAACAATTTGAAATATTTTTTCTAGAGTATAACAAAATTATAACAAGAGTATGCTAAAACTGTTCATACTTGCAAAGCCTTTATCTACTATAAATCAATTTAAAAGATAACTGAAAAACAATTCATTATGAAATTCAAATTTACTTTTCTACTATTGACTTAAGTCAGTAGTAGAAAAGTAAATTTGAATTTCAAACACATACAGTCAATCCCATTAAATGTTACACAACACATATGGTCAATCCCATTAAATGTTACCAAATTTAAAGAATAAAAATGACAAAACATATTTCTGAATTTTTTAATTAACCTTCTATGAACCTAGAGTCATAATTCAAAAATCATAAAAACTAAAAATTAATGTTTAATACATACCTTAGGTCCCAATAGAAGTTAATAGCTTTCTGCAGATCTGGAATTTCAAACTCCCCTGAATTATCACCAAATTCCCACGATGCTTGGTCATATGGTAAATCTCTCCATTTAACTAGATACATTGTTCGTCCATCTTTTAATGTTCTATACAAGAAGTTTTATNAAAACAATGTTTCAAATATAAATAAGCCATTCAATCTGTATTTGGCATGTGAAAGAGCTACCCTGAAATCATCATCAATGTAATATTTGAAAGTATGGCAAAATTATTTTTTGCATTACAACAATAACAACCATTTATATTAAAAAAAAAAAACAATGTTTCAAATATAAATAAGCCATTCAATCTGTATTTGGCATGTGAAAGAGCTACCCTGAAATCATCATCAATGTAATATTTGAAAGTATTAGAAAGTTTTTTCTAATAATGAAAGAAGCAAATGCTGATACGATTGTTTACTTATTAATTCATCAGTAAATTTTTGATGTGACCTGCACAAATACTTTAAATAAGCCAATTTTATATTAAAAAATTACTGGCTGTTACTACAATTTATTTTCTCAATATAATGTCATTTATTAGTTTAATTAAAATCACATTAAGCTATTTTATCATCTAAATCTAACTATCTATTCAAAAAAAGAAAACTTAAAAAAACATTCACAACTTTAATTTGTTTTGAAAATGTTCAAATAACTAAACGTATTGCATATCAATGATTATAAGATTTAAACCACACATTCTTATAACATAGATTGGTTAAACATATTGTTTAAAATTTTATTTGACTGTTTTAAAATATAAAATTCAACATCCAAATAACTAAGAAATATATATTCAAGTCAGAATGACTTAAACAATAAGCTACTGATTATAATTATTGATGAACTCTCAAAATAAAAAATAAAATCTTTTACCTGTGCAGCTCCAGGAAATAAATAGGGATGATTGCAACATTTCTTTAAATCCATCATTATATTTAACAAAGAAACTTGATGTCCTCCACCCTTAGCATTTAATGCTTCAAAATTTCTTGTCAGAATAAATTTATAATATTTCCTATAAATAAAGTAAATATTCAGCATTTCTATTTATAATAAAAAGAGGAAATAAATTTTTGACACTATCATTGTAAATTTTACAACATATTCAAGGAATAATATACTAATAGTAGTATTAGGCAAAGAATGAACATACAAAATATAGAAAAACTAAAAGTATTTTAAAATTTTTACAGAATTAATTTTCTGTCTTATTTTAATATTGGAAAAACATTGTGATTATTCAGTCAATAATCTAAACTTTGTATGGTACTAATCATGCTGATCACTTAAATCACATCTAAATTCAAAAGAAGACAGTTTTATAACTAACATAGATTTTAAATTTTGTTTTATGTATAACTAAGATACAATCTATTTATTTTGAATTATTTGAAGTTGACTAATTTAAACGTATTTGTAATATTTGAAATCAGATTATTTATGACATGTATAATTTAATGCATGTTCCCGAGATAATTATATAACAGAAAAATAACTTATCTGGTGATGCTTTTACAAATTTACTTGTTCTCTTTACAGATGAAAATAGTTTGTGCCTCTACACAATATGTTCCATAAAATGACTTTTCAATTCTATCTATCAGCTATTTTAAATGGTATTAAATATAATATAATGCCAAAAAATTTTCAAGTAATTAGACTATATTAAATATTGATTAGAGAATATTACTTTGAATTCTACAGTTGGAATCAAAATCTTCCAAAGAAAATTCTGAAGAATTTTAAATGTCCAGTTTTTTACTTTTCAGTTGCAGTATAATTATTTTATTAAAAATTATTTATGTTATTGCTTGAACAATGCCAATCTGTTTTTATTCTTGAACAATTTAAAAAGTAAACACTAATGTATTGTGAAAATATATAATTTAAATAGTAACATGATAATGCTTTGCTTGAATTTTAGATGATTTCGATACTTGAATCTAAGGATATTTTTATAAGGAGAATAAAATTACTTTCATTCAACAGTTTTGACCTTTCTAGCAGATTCCCTTCCAATAACTCTAAATATTATTACCAGAAGAATTGTTAATTAAACAATTGTTTTCCCAATCAGTTTATATTGTGCAATAAGAGAATTATAACATTAACATTTAACTCAAAATGATTATTAAGGAAAAAAATAAATTATAATGTACATAATTTATATTAATGTATTAATACGAACATTATGTGACAAAACTAGTAGCTTAATCTAATTTACATTAATTTCTTCATTGCATCATATTTTCAAAAAGAAAAGCTTAAAATAAATAAGACTTACTTTTGAAGGGGAGTTAAATCCACTCTGACAATAAATTCACTTTTTGCAGGAATATTCTGAAATTTAACAAATTTTATAATGAGCTAAGTAACAACACACAAAACTTATTTGTAAAAGTAAGTTTTTTTAACTTAAAAATGAGTTTAAGCATTATATGTACATACAAGCACTTAATTCTGTGATTCACTCCTATAACAGTATTTATACTACTAACAATTAAAATTCTAAATGATAATGACTTTAATGATGAGAAGCATTAGCATTTTCTGTATTTTCTAAGATTGTTTCATTATTCTTATCTANATTTTGTCCCTTTCATCCCCACCCTCCCCTACATAATGTAGTAGAAAATATATATATTCATAAACAAAATTATATGTCCATAACACAATTATTTCATTTAAAATGAGATTTTCTTTTGATCAAAAACATATCTACAATTGCCCATATTTGGTTCAAATTACATTAACTTGGAAATAGTGAGACATTGGGCAGGTTTATGAAGGCAATTATTATGCTACTTTTAAATGCAATTTAAGATTTAATATTAATTGCTTCTCTTATTAAATGAAAATTATTAATTTAAATAACTATTGTTGTAACCTGCTGCTGTTTTATTTAATTCATAAAAAATGTAGACAAAACGAATTACAAGGCACATGTGACTTGTACAGAGATGTCTAGTTAGACAACAAACATAACTGCTCGTTTTCCCATGGGGCAGTGTGTATATTTTGATAACTGATAATCCTACAGGCATCATACTTGAAATATTGATATTATTTTATTAGGTGCAATAAAATATATTAATTTAATAGCATGAGGCATGGGTGACTCTTGCAGCCCTAGTTTAGTTAAAGGTTATTTTTGGGCAGTACGAGTCACATAGGTCTCATTCCTGCAATCTGGGGTTTAGTGCAAATATGTTAATTTCTATTGTTCCTGCATTCTTGAAAGTTCTTTGTTCGCATAAGTCTTAGTGAATCAACTAATTTGTCTTACATTAGTGTTATTACTATATATATTTTGTGAGGTGTTATTTTGTTTAAAATATGACTTAAACTAACTTTATTTCACATTACATAAATTAATTTTTTTTAATAGGTATCATTTTATACAAATAGAATGCCGTTGAAACATTTTGTCAGATAACTTAGTCAGAATATGGATAACTAACAATGAAGAATCTGGAATATCTGATAATGAGTTAGAGGATTCAAACTATATACCAATTTTGGATGAATCAGAATTGTTTTCTGGATCAGAAACCGAAGGTGAAGAGTCTCCTGATGGTTCTGATGATAACTCAGGCGCCAGCAATGATGAGAATGACAGTAAGTATTCTAACATTCAGCAGTCTACTACTTCTGTTTGGCAACCAATTGGCTTTACATCTCATAACATCCCACAGTTTCAAGGAAATGAAAAGTTGAATCTTTGTAACACTAATCTGGATGATTCGCATGAAATTTATCAAATATTTGTCAGTGATGACATCTTAGATATAATGACTAATGAGACCAATAGATACACTGATCAATATTTAGAAAGCAAGACTTTGACATCAAAATTGCATGTGAAAAAGTGGTTCCCTACAATCAATGTAGAGATGTCAAAGTTCTTGGCCATCATATTTGCATGGGTCTTTCTCCCTTGCCTAATATCAGACTTTATTGGTCCAAAGACCCTTTGTATGAGAACCACTTCATAAAATTAATAATGCCTCAAAATCAATTCGCAATTTTACTGAAAAAAATTTCAGTAAAATTGTGAATTGATTTTGAGGCATTATTAATTTTATGACATTTTTTAATGGCATTTTTTATTTTTATTTTTTATTTAAAAATTTTTTAATTTTATGACATTATTTAATGGCATTTTTGATGATGATAATGCTTTTAACCACAGTGACCATCTGTACAAAGTTAGAGAAATTCTCACCAAATTATCTGACAATTTCAAGGATGCTATTACTCCAGGAGCACAGATTGTCATTGATGAAACAACGATTCCTTGCGAGGTCAACTTCTGTTTCGACAGTACATTCCTGGAAAATCATGTAAGTATGACATCAAAGTCTATAAGCTGTGCATGCCTGATGGGTACACTTATTCCAGCGAGGTCTATATGGTGAAACAGATATCAAATTCTGAAGTTTTACACAGCCATGCTGTCTGTATGTAACTGTACAGTGGTCTTTGTGATGCAGGCAGATCTCTTTACACTGACAATTTTTACACAAGTGTAGATTTAGCTTGTGAGTTAATGGCAAAAAATACACGACTGTGTGGGACCCTTAGAAAAAACAGGTGAGGTGTTCCAAAAGATTTGGTACAAAACAACTGAAAAAGATGAAGTTTCTGGTTTAGAAAATAATCAAAGAATACGAATAATAAAATGGATCGACAAAAGACCTGTTCTCATGCTCTCAACTGTAGAAACACATACTGATGCGATCGTTGAAACTGGGAGAAAGATAAAAAATTCCCAAGAGCCTAATATGAAACCACAATGTATCTGACTATATTATGTCAAAAAAGTAGTAGTTCTCGGTTCAAATGGCATCCTACTACACCCCACTTTGAAGAGGTATCAAGTGGTACAGAAAGCTAATGGTAGCTTACTTACTTGGCATTTCCATAATCAATGCTTACTGTATCCATTCCCAGTACCATAATACAGGACAAAAACATCTGTCAATAATGAAGTTTCGTGAAGTCATAAAAAAAAAAAAAAAATACTTTGTGAAACTGTACAGACAAAACTGATGTCACCTCCTTGTAATAGTAATCACAGTATTCATACTCTGCAAAAACGAGAAGGTCCTGCAAGAAAAGTATGTTGCCGTTGCCAAGGTTGCTATGCAGAAGCATGTAAAACACCACCAGCCGAAAAGCAGACAGTGCCACAAAACAAGTGACTACATTTTGGAATGATTGTCCTGGACAGCCAACACTTTGCATAGTTTGTTTCAACAGAAAACACCATTCTCCATGAGATGGAACATAATTACATTTTTACGTAAAACTATTTCAAAAACTTATGTGAAATAATTTCAATAAATGTCAATTTTTATTATAATTTTTGTTCTATATCTTTAGCTCAGTGTTTAGAAAATATGAATTGTAAAGTATGTCTCTTACTATGAACTATTGAACTATAACTCAATAAAATTAATATTAAAATATGAAAATTAGTATAAAGCCTTTAAATTTTTTTTAGTTTTTTTATTTTTTTGCATTCTATTTGCAATGATAGCTTTCATAATTGCATGGTAAAGTTCTTACTTTACAAAATTAAAGCCTCAATTTTGATTCCCCAAGGGAGCTCTATAAATCACATTTGCCTCGGGCTACAGCAGAGAAATAGAGATTATAGTGTCTTATATTAAATATATTAACGATTTTGTTTTATGTCCAATGACCAGCTGTATAGAATGCATTAATGACATGAAGTCACATGAGTCACCTGTGCCTCATACAGCCCTGTACTGAAACAGACAAGTCACCTGTGACTCAATGCTCAGCAGCTGCCTAAAAGGTTATCTACTGATGTTGTTAACGTGTTAATAAGCAAGTAATGTGATGCTAGAATGTTTACAAATATAACTTTAAATCATGTGATTTAGTCCGAGCAAATTTTTGTTGCATAAATTTAATTATAGGTTTAAATGTACAATGAGATAAAGTTTGACAAACACTGGACTAGAGGAATGCCCACTCTCTTAACTAAAAAAATATTCTAATCAATCTAGTAAGATATATCATAAAATATTCTAATGACTAATAATTCTGAGACTATACTACTGTACATTATTTGCTAGAAGATACTACTAATTAACATTTCTTATTAGTTTTAAATAGCAAATCATACCTGCAATTCTAAAACCCAAGAACAATGCCAATATGACATATCTTGCCATTTTACGAAAAACTCTCTCTGAGGTTTCGGTTGTATTTTTTTACTTGTCGACGGTTGAACTCCAGTCAGATCGTCTTTATTCCCATCATCTTTCTTGGTAATTTCGTCGTCAGATTTTGGAATTTCAGCCCATCTCCAAGTCAACACTTTTGCAACCTTTCCTTTTAACGGTTCCACCTAGTTAAAATATAATAAATAATTTACTGGAAAATTTACAATGTTTTTAATTGAAATAAACATGAATATTATAATAAAAATGCAAAAATGTTCTGAAGTTTCTAGTATCATTCTTACAGTTCTAATTTTAAAAAACTTAAAATACCTTTAATACAATGAATAGAATTTATGCATTTTAATATGTAATTTTATTTTAATTTTCTAAACAAATCTCAGTTATTGTATACTCTTCTATTAATATATTTTTCGTATATCTTAAGAGTCCAATCACTAACTTAAACTTTCATTTCCTCTTGATCCTTCATTTCTTCTTAGATATAAAAATAAAACTTAAAAGAATTGAAAAGTAACTTTTGTTGCATATTTCAAAGTAACCAGATACAATATTTGTAACTCACAATTTCTTTCAAAACTTATACCAAAACATTTTGTATTAAGAAATGTTTTGTTCTACTTTGAGAACAGCTTCAACTCACAAACTTCTATAACAGACATTATTTGTTTTCCAAAGAGCATCAGATTGAATAGTTTTTCAAAGATTGGTTAACAAAGAAACACAATTTACTACATTTAGAACTTTTTAAAAAATTTTTCAAAATATAAATTTAAACTTCAGAAAACTTTGAAATATGCACGAACATTTATAAATTTACAAATCTTGAAAACTGAAATTTCTACATTGCAAATACAGTATTACAGTTTCAATGTATAGACACTTTGTCTTTAACGATAGTAAAAACAGCAAAATAAAACGCTATTTTTATTACCGATAAAAGAATTTTAATACTGAAAGACAGTATTATTTATTTTGTATATAATTACTTGCATGAAGTATATAATTTTCTTTATGAAACATTAAAATCAACAAGTTCATAAAACATCTGTAACCAATCCTATTGCATTTTTTTGTTTTCATAATCATTTATGGGTGCTCTTCTGATTACAAAAGCAAAAAACATCTGCAACTTGGGCAAATAAAACTAAACGATAATCTACGATTTATAAAAGCAAAGACATCTAAAACTTCAATAAAAGTAATGATTTATTCGGTACCACCCTGATATGGTTAATTAAAAGAACAGGAAATATTAAAAAGAATAAAAACAAAAGTAATAAAAGAAATCCAGACCTAGAAAACAATTTTAACGAAAATGTTATGAACATTAGATACTTGAACATCTCAAATAAAAATGGTTTGCAATTGTTTTTCATTAAACAATGACTATTATATTATTAAATATTTAATCGTAATTTAGCATGCATTGTTATAATTATTTTATTTACACTATCTTAGAAATAATGTTTGATTTTGGAATAACATCCTTGAAATGAGAAGTGAAATTTTTTGGAATTAATTCAAATATTTACTTAAATTCTTCAACAAAGCACACAGTTTGGTTACTAGCCTGATATATGGGGTTATCGGGTCTTTGAATTTTAATCAGCATTCTCTGGATGGATAAGAAAAACTACTGGCAGAAAAGGGAAGAAAAAATATAATGTGGTATGTTACTATTTCATCAGATACATGAAGTTCATTAGATACTGTAATGTGCAAAATGCCAGTTATGTGTAAGTCTATACAACTAATTATTGCAATCTGGCAATCTTACTGATGCAATTTCAGATTTTTGTTTTATGCTCTTCTAATGGTCAAGTTAGACTGGCTAGCAGAAAGATCTGAAACATTTAATAAAATTTTTAATAAGCTATTGGCAATACTGTTCAATTAAACAAATAAAGCATGTTACTCAATTATTTTTCAGATAATCAATGACCAGTCAACTGCAAAATTAAGAACAGCTGCAAAACTGACAGCAGTTACAACCACTGCAACAAGTGTTGCTAATAAATGCCATTTTTAGCTTATATTTATTTATAAACAATTAAAATTCATTAAGAAGTGCATGTTAAATTCCTTAAAAATTTTATGAACATTAAAAAAATTTGAGATAAAACATTACAACAAACAGGTAATAACAGGTACAAAAAAAATTCATCTTTCCCACTCATAACAGACATTATTTAATTGACAAATATCATTAAAATACAGCTAAATTTCATGAATACATATACTATCACAGTACACAGAAAATACATTAAATGAAAAGATATACACTTAAAGAAAAACAGGATTAAAACAGACAAATACACTAGTTACTATATCAAAAATTTACAAGTCTATTTTGTTCTGCATTCCAATTTTTGTATTGAATATAATCTAAAGGAGGACATTATTACTACACAAAATGATAATACTCAAAAATGATGTAAATAAAAGTGCCATTGATAAAATCTATAGATAAAGAGTATTATTAATAACAATCCATAAAAACTGCAGTGTATTTAGAAATTACTGAACTTTGTTACTTTCATACTGATTCAATTAATGCAAGGTCTTATTTTGTATGCTTTGTATATATATATACATATATACACATATACATGAAATGCTTTTTCTTACAAAAAAATTAGTGCCAGCATCCATATACGGTGATTGAACATTTAGAATTATTTTTATTGACCAAGTGGGTATTACATGTAAATTATCAATACTTTTTCTACAATCTGTTGGCATTACAGCTGAAAAATAGCCCTAGAATTTAATCAGTAAATTTTATTTTATAATATAGCTTAAAAACTTACAACTCTGACACAATCAAATTATATAATCCTTATATTGCTTTAAAAGATTTAATTATATTTCAGGAATAATAATAAATACTAAAATTTATAATAATAATAAACAGGAAAAAGTATTTAATATAAAAAACAGTAAAATTCTTAAACAACAAATAGAAAACAAAGCAAGAATTACTACAATTACTATTAACAAAAGTTATCAATAAACAATTCACATACAAATAAGTTCAAATATGCAAAATTAACTAAGATTTTCCAAAAATTATTGGACTGCAATTTGAAAAATTGTTACACCTATAAATTCCCACTGTTATCCGTCCATCCATCTGTCCTTAATCTCGAGAACGAAGTTAGATACATGAAAGTCAAGAACAGATATGGAAAGCTTAGGGCAGGAGGTCCCGATTAACTATATGCAAACTTCCGATGCAAAGTGGAAGTGATGTTATTTCAATTCATAACTTTACCCCCGAAAGAAGTTAGTTACATGACAGACAACTCCACTGCTAATGGAAAAGTATAATGTACAGGGGCAAGATATTACCAATTTGAGGCACGTATTTTAAATTAAAAATATGACTAAAAATTGCAGCCCGACATTGTGATGTCGTCACAAGAAATAATTGTTTGTTTGTTATGATTATTTTAAAATGAATAATAATGTAAGTTTCTAAAAAAAACACGGTTACTGCCAGAATATTGATAATTTAATAACTGATACTTCAGGTGTAAAGTATGTCCCACTTTATGTTCTTGCCTAAGGTTAGGTTCTATCCATATTTTAAAACAGTAATTGTTTTCAATGAAGAATGATTTCCCCATTACTGTACAATACTTAATAAGAATTGTCTTTTATGAAGCACATACAAAATTTCCATTTTTACTAAAAAACAAACTGCACTTTGTAATACAGTAGATCCCCCTATAAGACGGTAGATACGTTCCGTTCTTTATGAATCAATTTTGTAGGAATCATAGTTTACGGACTACAGCTGTTTGAAAGGTTTTCTTTCATAAAATTAATCGATTCTAGACTAATTCGACTCAACATTTCCAAAATACGTATATTTNATATTTTTCAATATATTTATTTTGTTTGTAAGAAATAAATAAATAATTTTTAACGATACAATAGCCACGATTATTATTTTAAAAAGTATATGTTAGGCTTAACATCGACAAAAATTCAACGCAAAGCGACATGCAACAGAGAAAAATTTCAACACGGGATAGGTTAATATATTTTTTTCATACATAATCGGTTATCCGAACAACCTCAGTCCCCAACTGATTCGGATAAATGACGCTCTACTGTATAAAGATCATTATTGATATACAAATGAGACATCACTAATACTAAACATGTTTACATGTATAGATTTGAATGCTAGCAGAATATCACAAATTGACAAATATACTTATTAAAGATGATTCAGTGATGGAAATACCATTGTTATTGGTGTTGTGATAAAAATAAGCAAGCAAAAACGTTATGTCAAAAACCCAGTGTTCTCTTTGGTCTACAAAACATTTAGCTTCCTCAAATATCAGTACATGTATATTTAAATTTTAATTAAATACCAGATCATCATTATCATCAAAATTATTTTGACATTATGATATTTTTCACCAATTTATCAAATGCAGTAACTTCAAATTGATCCACTAAAGACAATGTTATCAAATATCAAATTCCAATAATTATTAAACTAAATTCCTTAAACATTCCAAAAAATTAATTCTACTTAAATATTTGATCACATCTTATTTTACACATTTTTTTTTAGATAATAATGTGTTTCCTCTCTTTTAAAAATTGTTATTGTTGTAGTTAAAGACATTTATTATCAAAATTATGCTATGAAAACAAAATTTTACAAACTACATATAGATACAGTAGAACCTTGATTATCCAGACTAATTGGGGATGAAGGTACAGTGGTGCCTCATACAACGTACGCCTTGAATAACGGATGCTGCGAACAATGGACTTTCTGTTTGGCCGTTACGTGACTCGAGCAATGGACTGGCTGCGAACAACGGACTTTCCATTCGGCAGTTACGTGAGGCGAACAATGGTCTTTCTGCGAATAAGTGCTAATNGGGAAAGTAGTTTGGCTGCCCGATGACGTTTTACATATTATAGGAGTTATTTTTACCATTGTTTACGGATACTGCCACAATTTTTATAGGAATCATAACTATAGGAAACGGTTTTATAGGGGGATCTACTGTACTTAACATGTTTTATGAAGTAAAAATGCAAGCAGGTAAAATTCTTAAAAAGCTAAACAATCTTCTGAAATGTAAACGTATTTCACAGCACGTGTATTAACTCTAGCCACGTCCAGAAGAGT